AGGGCCCTGAGGTGATGTTATCGGATCTGATTCAGCCATGCGTCTCTGGAATGAAATGTGGAATAGAATCATCTGTGTCCCTCCCCGGATTGATTCAGATAATTAAATTCAGGGTCTTATATAAGGGGAGGATTGTTTTTGTCCTTTCGCCAGAAGCACGTTCCAGAACGTGCGAGTCTCACAGGTTCTAGAGCACAGAGCTTAACAAAGACGTGAGAACAGTGTTGTTAATTAGAACAAAGCAAATATAGATGCCAGAAAAAAGCAGCAAGCAGACAGGGAACTACAAAGACTCTCGTCAGGACTAATCAACCATGAAAACAACCAATTAAAGCTAATTTTACACCCTCCCTTTAGAATACAGTCTAAAAAGGTGATGGAAAGCAAAGCTTTACTCACTTTCTGTCTATTTGTCATATTATGTCACTGCAGTGACCACTGAAGACAATAACCAACTCAAAACTTTCTTGTGCGTGTGTGTGTTCTGGTCCACAGTGTATGTATGTGGGTCATGGGAATGGGTCGGGTGTCCTCTATCCCAGGGTGCGCTCAGCTGTCTCGACTTACATTATTAAATATGACCACTTATCACACACTCATACATATACATTCAATTAGTTATCCAATTGAGGGCATACCAAAGACTTCTATTGCTTTTAAATAAAGCTAATTATAATTACTGACCCAAACCCAAAACACTCTTTTGCAATTCAATTTAAAAAAATATTCTTAAAAGTTACATATAGATATTAATATGAACTAATTATAAACAGCATGTAGTCCTTTGACCAAACCAAACCAAAACATAAAATGCAAATTCGCCATCATATATTGTGTTTAATATTGGTATTAAAATAACCTCAAAAGTAATTAAATATCATATTGAACATCACCATTTCTATCAAAACACAAAAATCAGAATTATCAACACAATGGAGCTAGAAAACTGTAGCTGTAATATGTTTTCATCTCTTAGAAAAAAAAAACCTACAAAAACTACCTTTTTCTCCACTGATAGCAATAATAATATTCTTATACTGCTTTACATTTACATTTAGTCATTTAGCAGACGCTTTTATCCAAAGCAACTTACAAACTTGACTTATTTAGGGTATTAAAAGTTTTATTCAGCTAAAAAATTTTATTAAATACATTAAATAACGATGGAAATTCAACATTTATGATTACTGATCATATGATTACTGAGATCATTTCCCATTAAATAAATATCTGCTAACATCTCTAATCAAACGTTTTAAACTAAAGGAAGGACATTTCTCACCATTTCAAGCATTTCCATCAACCCACACACACACAAAATCTGAATTATCAACACCACAGCGGTCCTCAAGAAAGACGACTTTAAATGTGCCTCAGTGGTGTGATCTGTGGATGAGGGCCACACACACAGAGGAAGAGACAGAACAAGGCACTGATATACTGAGTAAGAGGAAAGAAAGAAGCAGAGAGAGAGAGCGAGAGAGAGAGAGCAGATCAGGCTGACTGAATGGTTTCCAGATGTGTGAATGGTAAACAACTGGTTTATCGTGTGGGCATAAAAATCTGTGGCATTCAGAATCTCTGACCAAACATCCCAGAGTCCTCCAGAACCACGACCAGAGAACGGACACGCATGGACAGATCCACAACCACACGCTCGCATTGTCGCCGTTTAGTGTCTGATATCTACTGTTGAGTATTTCCAGAAGCCTAGCATGAAAGAGCTGAAAACAAATGAGAAATCAAATCACAATCCCATCTGACATGCTTTGAAGTCATCTGTGCATGAACATGAACCTTCACGTACATCTGACTGATGAAGCGAATGTGACACAATTACAGAGAAAGAGACATCCATGTGTGTGTGCAATATTTATTCTCTCTGTATGGGTTGTGCTCCATGTATTTAGAGGGCACATTCCCAGGCTGGGCGTTGGGATTCTCTCCTCCACTGTTTCCCACACAGAGCTCACAGGAGGGCCTTTGTTCCGGCTCCAGGCCGCGGGGGACCCAGATTCAGCACAGCAGCCCCTGAGAGACCTCCCTGCATTCTTATGCAGGACGACCCTCACCTTCAGAGGTGCTCACTGCATTGGATTCACATTAGTCTTTGAATCTTGTCTATTTATCAATGTCTAGCTACCTCTCTCTGGCTACCACTGCTTGAAAAATTAATATTAGTGATACATTTGAGCTGATTTCTTCATGTAAATGTTCAAAAGCAGTTCATTTACTTTTTAATAAAAAAAACAGTACAGTGACTTATTACAGTGATCTCTAGCGATGAAATCACTATCAGCATGAATAAAACATACAGGGATATTTCACCCAAAAATTACAATTTTGTCATAATTTATTCCTGATCCAAGTTCCAAGTGTCTAATAAAAAAAAAGACCTCTTTTACTTTCACTGGAAGGACAAAAAGTGCTGAGAAATTTTCATAATATCTTTGTTTGTTTCAAAGTAAGTAAAACAGGTTTGTAAAGACATGAGGGTAATGAAGTAAATGAAGACAATTTTCATTTTTGAGTGAACTATGCCACTTTTAGGATACATAACAAACACCCAAAACTCAGTGTGAAACAAAAAGTGATTAAACGCATCTCTTCTATTCTAATATGAGTTTTTACTCTAACTGACCATAACCAAGAAAAGCAATGAGCTAGAAACCAATGCAGTTGTAATATTGTCACCTGCTAGCAAAATGCATCTTTCTCCACTGACAACTGGTAAAAATGGCAAAACATCTTGTTTTTTATATGTATTTATGTAGTATTATAATAGATATTATATTATGTGTGTGCATGTATATATCCAAAGTATAAAATAAAAGATGAACAGAATATATAGTATAGTATAGTATAGTACAGTACAGTATATATTGCAAAGTAGATGTTTTACCAGTGCTCTGCTTTACTTTTAAGACCATGATTAAAAAAAAAAAAAAACTTCAAATCCTGAAATGTATTACCTTTGACAGTTGTGTCCAGAATTCAGTGCTGATATACAGAGATGGAAGATTTCAAATAATGTGGTTCATGGGAGTTACCTTATCTTCAATCTTATTCAGTTTGGACTTGAGTTCTGAGACCAGCAGGGATCAAATCTCAGATAAAGGGATCAATCTAAACTGGAATGTGAGATTATCAATCACTCTATTCACCAGTCTAGTTTGGTGTCCATAGTGGAGAGGAAAGATCTGCTGTGTAGAAACTGTTAAGTAGCAGTCTTGCAACATATGTTTTATACAAAATGACTCTAGCACACTTTACTCAAGTGGAACTGTCCCTAAGAACACTGCGTTGATGGCTTATAGACTGTCCCTTGTGTGATTTGAACTTCTAGCCTCAGCCACTGCACCACACTACCCATCTGATCAACATATGAACGTTTAGCAGGATACAAAGTGGAGTAACACCAACCCAAACGTGAAAGAGCATCCAAAGCGAGTCACAGAGACCCTGGATGATTTAAGGTGAACTGCTAAAAAGCTAAAACTACTATAAAAAAGTTTTCTAGCTGGTCTAAACAAGTCTAGTCAATTCCAAATAGGCACAAAATGTAACAAATATCTTGTATTTTTTTCTCTTCTGCATCTCGCTGGTAGACAGACTGTTCTGGTGGAAACACAGATTGTTAGGCCAAATTTCAAAGACTGATTAATTGAGTCTTTTTTGGACTGCTGTAGAGTTCGCGTAAAGTAGCGTTTTAAGTGGAGATCACAGTCCTTACATGTTGCTCCAAGTCAACAAGAAATTTAAATCAACCCTGTTTGCTTTAATACACATGCCCGGTCTTATGGGAACGATTCACCAGTGCACATTTCCTCCCCCCAGAAAGCACAAAGCATAAAGCACAAGCTCACAGAAAGCACAAGCTTAAAAAATACAGTGTGTTCTATAAAGCTGATACTTTTGGCCAATATCACCACAGTACATATCATTCAGTTCCATAGTATACCATAATATTACCATCCAACACTATGGTACCACCAGTAGCCTACTTTTAATAAAGGCATTAACATGGAGGAGAGCCATATACAGATTATTTCTATCAGTCTTTCTCTTTTGCGCTGCATTGTTGATGGCCAGAATTTGGTTTGGTTGCTATAGAGATTGATGGGAGGTTGGGCAACCACATTTGGGTATGAGGGGATGGAACGAGTGCGAGTGAGGGAGAGAAAGAGAGAATATTGTCATAATTGCATGTTCTGCTGATGGTGCTTAAGAAGTGAAGCCAGCAGGCAAATGAAATACAGATCGTCATTTGCCGTGTGACCTCTCTGAGAACGAGAGAGTGATGGATGTGAGAGAAAGAGACTTTCGTTGGGCCACAAACACCACAAAACAGCCTTGGCGCTGTTTTTGCGCTGAGACAAAAACTTGAAGAATTTGGCAAGAGAGAGAGCGAGAGATAACGGGGGGAAACAAAGAAATCAACTTCAATGTCTCCTGGCTGTTAATGCAACAGCAATCCTCTGTGTTACGTTACATCAGTTAAGTCGTTTGTCATTGGTTGTTAGGGTGTGTTATCTTTTGAGGCATGAACTTGGAACCAGACATCCATTCTCAAAGTAAACACTCTATCTATTAGGAGTCATTCGGTGTGGCCCAAAGGTAAATTCTTGTTAATGGAGGAGCTCTGTGGGTGCGATTGGCTTTTCCGTCTGTACTTTCTTGAGTGATTATTTGCAATGATGTGTTTCTTTGTTCTTGAGAGCCCATATACACATACTAGACCCAAGCCAGATGGGAGCTGGCAAACCTATGACTTTATAACTTCAGGTTTGCATTGCTGGGAAAAAAACACACTTAAACTAACCTTTGTCTGGTTTAAGTGATTTTTTAAAGCAGGGTCAAAAGAAAAAACATAATTAGTTTTAAAAATAACGCAATGTGTTGTGCACTCGCACATACACAGTCCATCTTACACTTTGTCCTAACCTCAAAATGAGTTTCCTATTGAAAAGTAATTGATCTGTACACACTGAATGGCTCACCTTTTGACTACGTCATCTCCACTCCAACACGTGAGCTCGTCGACGCCCATCTCTCCCTCGCACAACGTCTCCGGAAGTATGGAGAAGAAAGACTTATACCGGGAGATATACTCTGTAAACTCCCTACAACACAAATCAATAAATAAAAAAAAATGTAAAAAAAAGTTGAGAAAAAGACAACACATGCAGATAATAAGTAACACTGTGAAACATTAAGGTTTTTAAATGATTTGAAAAATAAAACCCAGAGAATCCATTGTTTTAGAAACACATTTAAGCATTTAATTATATAGTATTACTTTAAGTATATGAAAAATAAAATAAAATAAAATAAAAAACATATATATATATATATATATATATATATATATATATATATATATATACTGCAATATAACAAAGAGTGAAAAATTTAAGGGGGTCTGAATACTTTCCGTACCCACTGTATATTAATTAAAAGAGTGTGTGCATTTTGTCCCACTTTCAGATGGATCTGGTGGAGAGATGGAAATGAAAAATTGTCTGTCCAAACATGTTTATTTCAAGGACAACCTTTACAGAGACAAAAGCATGGAGGTATGTAGTTACGGGTCACATGCTTAGTAAGGAACCAATCAGGCAACCTGAATTTAAAATGACTGAAACTGTTTTTCACACTTTGGTTTGTTTGCTTGATTTGAACCCAAGTTCAACTCGATCCCTCTCCCATCAGACCACATTTCTAAAAAACATTCAGTTTTCAGTTTCTAAATAACATCCAGAGTCAATATCGAACAAATTATGTGTTAACATTAGTGGTTCACATGCAAACATTAGGCCAGACTGCATTCATACCAAATGTGAATCAGACGGGAAACCACATGAACCATAGTCAGACTTGGGTACAACATTTCAGCTTCCACAGCAACCAAACAAACCAAACTGTAATGACAAAAGGACCCGATCTGCACTAAAAACACTAGTGTTGAAACACCCTAACTGGTAAGGTAACTGTAGTAAGTGGGTAAAAAGAGGCGGAGCTAACCTATATTAGCCAAGGAAAGTACACACACAGAGATTCACATTTTTAAGAAAGATAATCAGAAATAAATGCAACTTTTTAGTAAATGTATTCATGCTTACCGTGCAACCTTTTTCAGAGTTCTACCTCTATCGCTCTTGGAGGTTTTCAGAGGGAGTGAACTGATAACGGTCAAACCCCCCAGTACAAGACAATGGAACAGTCCAGAGGAGGACGAGGCAAGCAGTTTGGAGGGGAGAACAGAGAGATGGAAGAAACCAAAGGGCAACAAAACAGGGGGAGGGGATGATGGTGAGAAAGGGAGAGAAAAATCATGACCATGGAGAAATAAAAATCACTCATGCACATGCAAACCAGGCCTGAAAGATGAGTTACATCACACTAGCAATGAAACTCAACCAGGCGGATTCAGGAAGTACTTTTCCCTCAGAAAAAAACGTCAAGGGTTAAAACTTAACCAGACCAAGCACTGAGATCACAATAAAAATTATTTTTAAAAATTACACAAAAAGAGACGTATTTAACATTTTGAGGGAATTAATGACATAATTGAATCATTCTGGGTTTCATGTTGCTTTAATGCTTCAAAAACATTACTAATGTCTTTAGTTAAAATTCATCCATAAAATTAACTATGAACTATGAATTTTTACTTCCAGAACCCTGCTGTTGAGCTCCATTATTCATGTCGATGGAGGTTCAACATGGACATAACAGACAACCTAGCATTCCATTATAATTTATTCTAATTAACCAAGTATAACATTGTGTTCTGACCTCTGATCTTAACAATGATGGAGCGCTTTAGCTATTCTTTGAAAATAATTGTACATTTTTCATTTATAAATTTCTAGGCCTGCCAGCCAGAGCATTTCCAAGGCTCTTAGTGGTGAGGTCATCCGTACAGTGATGAGTGTTTGCTGTCCTCTGCTCCACTGACTCCTGCACACCGGAAAAAAACCTCTAATCCATTTATCTCTCTCGGTTCCTGCAGTCTCAATGCCAGTTACAGCACCGTCCTTGCCAGCCTACCACTTAGTGATGGCTATCCGCAGCGTTTGTGAGGACCTTCAAGATACGGGTCTGAAGACACTTAGTTAAATGTCTGATAGCATATTTTTAAATCAGTGTCTTTCGAGACACTTGCCAAATGGGTATATGTGTCTGTTTGCTCAAAGCATGTCTACCTGCATATATATTTACACACACTTCATGACTTGTTTCTTATTTTAGACAGCAAGGAATCATGGGCCTAGCAGAGGAGTTTTTAATACAGATGCACAATATATCGGTAGTCATTGCCATATTGTTCAATATTATTGCTTTTATTATTGGAATAGGTCTGATTAAATTGATTTAAACCGATAATAGAGGTTATTTTTATGTACATGCCAATGTCTTTCTATGCCAGATTGCAAAAGTGTGTTTGATAGTAGAAATGATGGACACATTTTTTAAATGTTTTGATACTTCATTTCATTTGATAGCAGGTTAAAATTCATTAATGAACCCTTAAAAAAATTGAGAATATGGGACAGTTTGACTATTATATGTCAACAATTGATAACAGGATTAAAAATAAATACATAAAGGAATACATATATTTAAATAAATAATACATACAATTAAAAAATATATACAAAGATCCATTTTGTATAAATTTAAATCCATTATTTATTTATTTATTTATTTTATTAATTGTTTGTGTGTGTGAAATTATTAGAATTAAATTAAAAATAGATTCTAAAACAATTTATTAAAATTAAAAATATTTAAAATAGTTTCAGATGAACTATAATTCTAACAATAGGTTAGAACCTGTAGTCCTATCAGCTACCAGTAAATGTATAATATTGGTTGTCATATCAATTATTGGTATTGGCAATATTATGTAAATATTGGTGCATCTCTAATTTAATATTTACAGGCAGATCTTCAGGTTCCAAAAAAACAAACAAACCTATGATACTCTACCTCAAGGCTTTTAAATAGCAAAGAGCTGTAAAAATGGGTTTTTCAATAAATGAGTCTTGGGATCCAGTCTAACCTGTGAAGGTGCGCCAACATGCCGATCTTATCGGCTCCTGGAACGTCCTGTGAGCTGTTGGCAGGTGGAGGGGTGACTGGAGTCAGAGGAAACGTCCTGACTGTGGTTGAAGAAGCATTTGAAGAGTGACCACATACCTTATCCACCTGAAAGACAGAGAGACACAGATGAGAGAGGGTTATGCTCTGCCCCTTCAGGAAGACCGAACGGATGACGTAAGTGTGTTTGTCTCTGTGATAAATGAAACTAATGGAAAAGCAGAGACAGTAACAGATCACATTAAAGCCATGAATGAATTAGGACCTCAGACAGAGACAGTGTGTGTCTGGCTCTGGTTTTGCTTATATTTTGGGGATCAAATATCCTCAAGCATAGTAAAACCTGAAATCAGTTACACTGTGGGAAGCAGCCAACGGCCTCCACAAGGAAAACAGCTTAATAAACAAACGAAATAACATCTTAATAAAAATCTAAAAATGCAGAAAGGATTCTGTGAGGGTCATATGTAAGCTTAGGGGCCAAAAAATATCATTAGCTCAGTCTAATAACAACAAAAGTCAATGGAAAATCCCTACCGTGATGGAAAAACAAACATGTGTCTGTGTATAAGCCCGTTTATCTCATTAGAGACTATTGCTGTAACACAGGATCTCAATTTGCATTTGCTTTTATATCTAAACCTCCTTCACCTCTGTGTCTTCCTCGTTCTCACACACACATTTAATCAATGGCGTTTCATCCCACTAAAAGCTCCAGCAGACGTCACCAGTCCATTAGTCAAAGCAAACTCGACTACAGCGATCCAAATGATTACCCTCAGTTTTTGCCCTCTCATATCAGTCACCTTTAATAATGACAATTTTATTTGGCATTAATAAATCTTTATCTCTTGCATCATTTGTCATTGCTCTGGGAGCTCAGACATAAGGGCGGAGGACAGGAAAAAGACAACCTTCGCTCTGTCACTCGCTTTACAACCTGAATGAATAACAAGGTGCAACTCTGCAGGATAAATACACTGAAATAAATGGTGTAACTAAGATTGGAAAGAAAGGTACAAAATTGTCACAGGGACAGTATTCTTTTCTAAAGGTCCTAATATGTACACTTTAGAATAGATACTAATATGGTACAAAATATGCACCATTTAGGGCTTTATAGTGACAGCTTTGTACCTTTTTTTCTGACAGTAGAAACAATTTTCATTACAGAAATGGCAAGTAACATGACAATTTAAAGTGATATTTTGAAGTCAAAAGACGTACATTTCATGTAAATTTTTTAGGATGATATGAAGAACATTTGGGTCATCAGAGCAAAGTTTTGTTCCACTTGCAATGTCCAATTTCTTAAAAAGTCCTCAAAAACAAAACTGCTAAAATTACTTGAAAAAAATGGAAACTTGGTCGGAACGGATGGCCTTCTCTAGTAGAAAAGTTCATTTATAGACAAAACATCCTAAATAACTAAATATAAGTCTTAAGTAAAATCTAAAAATGTCTAAAAATATCTGCGAGTGCCTTTATTTCCTTTACCACTGTATGCAAAGAAACGACTAGCCTACCACAAAAATGGGCTCAGGGTTTGATTCAGACCCAACAATGAAACTGCATCTGCTCCACATACTTTACAGTTTAGCTTCATTCTCCTGAATAAAAACTAAAAATACAATTTTTAGTGTCTTTAAATCAATCCGTTCACTACAAGTTAGTAAACTTATATAAGTTTTATTTCAAGATCCACAAATAGCAGCTCTCTCAAAACACACACACACACACACACACACACACACACACACACACACACACAGAGTCCGTAAGAATCAGATATCTTTCTGGACACATACCAGGCTAAAGGAAAAGAACATTTAAAGCATTTATTAAACAACAGTATATTTAAGATACCTGATATAAGTACATTTAATATACTTAAGAGCTTGTGCAAACATTATTAAACACTGACATGTGTTAAATATCAGCTTTAATGAATAATAATAAACCGAATCAGTGTCTTTGAGCCTAAAGAGAATGAGGCATTATGGATATCGGCCAAAAATGTGGGAGTGCTGGGAAAATATTTGTGTTTTGATTTTGTTGTGTTCTGTGTAGTTTATTGATTTACCCTCTATTGTAAATATTTTTCATCCTTCTTTTTGACGAACAGCATGGGAACCATCGTTTCCCCACAAATAAACCCAGCGGTGGATTTTGGACAGGGTTTCTCAAATACACAACGGTTATCCTTGAACCGTCATGTATTTTATCCTGTTCCACGGATAATTTATTTTCTTCATCCTAGTCAGTTTTATGTAATTGAGTTTAGAAATCAGCTGCAGTTCTGCATATTTAAAGAAAAATCATATTCAAGTTAAAAGAAACTCTTTTTAATCTGAGATTCAGGCAGTTACATGAGCTTCTTTATGCATGGATGGAATTTCTCTCCGGAAGTTTCCCAGTGTCCAGTATCAAATTATTTTCCATTCAGAAAGCCTGGGAATTTTTTTCCTGTAAGGCTTGGCTAATTTTATAAGTTAATAAAAATTCAATAAATCTGCAAAGTATTATCTCTAAAACATGACAGACGATCTGATGGTAAAAACTAAATATCTGCGGCCCAGAATGAACCCAATGGCCTTCTCCAGATCTCCTTCTCTTGTAAATGGGGCGCAGAATGTTTTGAGATTTGTTCATTTCATCAACACTCAGAGGTGGTCAAAAACACATTTGTAGCGTAAACATTTATCTTTTCTGAAAACCCTTTTTTAGCACAGTGGATGACTGACAGGTGACTTCTACGACACTTAACTCACCTGTCAATGTCAATCATCCAATGTGTCAATACAAGGTTTAAATTAATGCATGTATGTATGAATGAATGTATGTGTGTGTATATATACATACATATATATATATATATATATATATATATATATATATATATATATATACACACACACACACACATATACATACATACATATATATTATAAGAACTGGTTGAAGACACTGAAGCATATTAGTTCATCAGCAATTTGTCTCAGTTCACCACTATAAGGCTTATAGTGCAGCTATTATTTAGATAGCCAAAAAAGTAAACTTGTTCCTTAGTATCCATAACAAAATATTATTATTAATGGAGATATATTTGGATATATTTTGAACAATTTGTTCTGCTCCTTGGGGTAAAACTATATTTAACAAGTATTCATCTAGAATAATGGCCCTCAGTGTCTTATAACACCACATTACAGCAAAACGCCAGAGTCTTAAGCGACAACACAGATATTTTAAAGAATCGAAAGCATGTGAAAATAGGCATTGAACATGCATAAGTGAGAGAGAGGCAGAAGTGACCTCAGCGACACCCTGATCTGTGACGCTAAACACAATGGGTAGTTCCACTGGTCAACTGTTACTCAATTATCTACTGTTGAAAGCACAAGTTTGCTCTTGTCTGGCGAGTATGCGTGCACCTGTCCGTCCTTGTAATATCTGTGAAATGCCAGTGTGTGAAACATTCCGGGTGTGATTAGACGGGGTCTGAACGGTGCTTTATTCCACGTGGATGGAGTCTCAGAGGAAGACACATGCGGGAGCTGTGAGCGCCTGGCCTTGGGTAACAGACTGACTGTATATTTGTGGTTGGTAGCGGGTATTTGGCTGCAGTTTTACTACAGTGCGCTATGAGGAAGTCTAATTTAACTTTTTCAGAGGACTGTCTGTTTTAAAGACAGACTTTTCCTTCAGTCGTCATGTTTGTGTAAGTCTCTCTCTGGGAGAGTATTGAGTTGCATGGTATGGTGAGTGATGAAGTTTGTTGATGTAAGAATCTGCTCCAGAGGCAGTGCAAGTTTCTCAGTGCTCTCTTGCCCGACAGGACAGGACAGGGCAGGACAGGACAGGACAGGACAGGACAGGACAGGACAGGACAGGGCAGGGCAGGACAGGACAGGGCAGGGCAGGGCAGGGCAGGGCAAGGCAAGGCTGATGTTTCTACTGCAAAAGAAAATGCATCTAACCGCTGCTTCACATTTTAAAAAAGGAAATGCCAAAATTATTTTTTAAATGCCAGCACTGTTAGAACAATATCAGAGAACGTCTCAGTGGTGTTGAATTAAACAGTGTTCAGGAAGCCAGCTTCACTGTTCAGTTAGCGGCTTGTTTTTCATGTAGGTCTGGCTTGAGTGTGTGCTTGAACTGTGATTCTCTGGCTGCTTTGTTTGGCCTCAATGTTGCCACGCTGATACTCACACATACACAATCAGTTGATTAATGATCTCTGTCTGTGTCTGTCTGTCTGTCTGTGTGTGTGTGTGTGTGTGTGTGTGTGTGTGTGTGTGTGATCTGTTTGTGAACTTTGCATCTCCACATGCATTCTACTCTCGTAACAGAGCAAACAGTTTCAGACCCACAGTGCTACTAACTTGATTACGTGTGCCGTACATCAATGGCACAATTCTGAGAATCTCCGGTGATAAAAATAGCTAAAATACTTTCTCCATCCAAGTTAAAAGAACAAAGACAACTATAAGAAGACATTGATGGGTTGATTTCTTTCCTAATTTAACAAAACAAAAAACACAAAATAATATAAGAAGTTTTGTGCAACACTATTAGTTTCACACTATTTTTCTTAAGAACAACAGTTAATAAAATAAAACAATATTTTAAAAATATTTATATAATTTTTTAAAATATATGCATCTTATATTAATCACTGTATGCCTGCATGTATGTTTTGTATTCTCAAATTCCCATACCATGTTACTATCTGAAATAACCTGTGCCGTTTTACTTTTCTTTTTTTTCTTTTTTCCTTGCTTTCATATGTAAAAAAAAAAAAGTAACTACAATATTGTTGTATTACTGTAACATATTGTTACATCTCAATAAACAGACTGTTCAAAAAAAACTTCTATTAACCATATTTTGAAACTATTTTAAACTGGTTTTGTGCAAACTAATTACTTTTTACTTTTTTTATTACTACTTGTTTCAAAATTAGATTTTTTTTCATTTTAAGAAAAAGACAGACCAATTTTTTTACTTTTTTATAATTGTTTTTGTCATTATTTGTTATTAAAATAAAAAAAAAAATTTATATTTATATAATTTTTATATTATTAAATGAAAAAACATATTACTTA